GCTCTTGGATCTTGGGGGTTTTGATTGTTGAGTTTTGAACTTTTTATGATTCTCAGGAGGTTCCTCAAAATTTTGCTGGTTGTTACTGGAAGACACCTTAGACTCCTCCTGAAAGTTAGGTGGTTCCTCCGGCTCAAGAATTGCAAATTTATATTGGGGAAGTGGTGGAATTGGCTGGTTGATTTATCCAGGGAGGCGGGGATTTGTTTACAGGATTTTTTGGGGAAGCAATGATTTTCCCTGCAGGATTTGGCAGATTTTGGGGATTAGAATTGGGAGAAGGGTCGTTGGTAAGCATCTCAATAGGGGGTATCTGGGATGGGAGGCAGGGCTTGGTTGGTGGGCAAAGGGAGTTGGGGTTTAGGAGGTCTAGCTCTGCTTTTGCTCCTGCCACGAGAGAGAGGAAGAGTGGAAGGTTTTGGTTGAGGATTTTTTGGGCAAAGGCTATATGAGGATGAACTAGAGAACTGCAACCAGGACATGGTGTAGGTTTCCAATCATACATAACAGTTAGCTCAACATCATCACCATCCATGCTTATCGGGATAACATCACGGAAGGTCAATTTTCTAGTGACTAGAACACACACTCTCGCAAAAGTGAGGCGAGTTTTCCGAGCTGTAAGGGAATCAACAGCCAAAGGATGACCCATAAAGCTTGCAATTTTTGAAATACCCAAAGGATTCCAGACTGCTAACGATAAATCTAAAATCTTTATCCATATAGGGATAGCAGTAAAATCATCCCTTTTTGGCTTAAATTTGGGAGTCCATTTTTTGGAGGATAAATGGACGCCCAAAGAAAAACCATGGTCCTCCCGACCAAGCCACCTCATAATCTTCTGAGGAAGAAAATTTAAAGAGGAAAAAATCGCCGTTTAAGGAGTGGAGATCAATCGAACCTTTGGGGGACCAAACCTTATTTATGACATTCTACAAACTCAGGTAGGTAGGTCTTGGCCCCACTGAATAGCCAACAAGAGAGAGGTTCCAGTCGGGAGCTCCAAGCGCAAGGTAATCGGTAGAAAAAGAAATCTTCGTATGGGGTTGTATAAACAAAACATCAAAATCGTTAGCTACCGGGTCTTGATTTGTAAGATTAGAGATGAAATTGAGGCTAGGTAGCGCCGAGAAAGTGGGGTTCCAATGCCAGGGAGTGGAGGGAAGTCCGCTAAGTAAGAGGAGGAAGCCATCAGCAGCCAAGGGTAGGGGAGAACCCCTCCCCAAGAAGACGGCAGGAGGGGAAGGCGGGAGAGAAGAGGGAATCACTAAAACCCTAGCAGATCCCTAGCACACAAAAACAGGATCTAACTAACTCTGTAGTATGAGATATACTTTCTGTAAGCATATATAGAGGAAAAGAAATTCCATGGCTACCTTGTCCTGAAAATTACCTCTTCTTTGTTTCTTGTTCTGCTTGTCCCTATTTGATTTCTTTAGTTGCAAGCTTGATATTCTTCAATTATTATTACTATTTTTTTGTTATTATTATGTTTGTTGTTGTTGTTGTTGTTGTTGTTGTTGTTTAATAATTTTAATTTACTAAGATTTGCACCCCTGAAAAAAAGATCTGGATCCACTTGTTATTACCTATGTAAGGGTCTAGTTGCCTAAAAATATTGAAATATAGTAATGTTCGTAAGTTTGTTTTAACTTTTTTTTTTTTTGTCAAATATATTTTTGGAGTAATAAAATACAGCAAAGGCTTTGTTTGAGATGATTTTTTTAATATTTTTTAAAATATTTTTTTAGCACAAAAATATTTTTATCTAAAAATTTTTGTATTATAAAATTATTTTAAAAAGCATTAAGTAAGCCGCCCAATGAAGCCTAGTTAACAAATATATAGTAAGCTCCTTCTAAGATGACATTGGTTGATTTTGGGTTTATATTATATTTGCAAAATCATTACAAGAAGATTAGATGGAGCTGCCTTAGATAATTTGGTGTTTGCTTTTTAATTAGTCTGTTAGGAGAGTAGATTTATTAAATCTAGTTTATGATAAGATAGAGGTAGGCTTAAAAGGATTTGATTTACAAAGCATTAAAAGTGACTTTTTTAATTAAATTAAAATGAGAAATTATTTCTTAATAGAAAGTGTTAAAAATAACTTTTTTTTTTTCTGGATTCTTCACTTGAGGTGAGGAGAAACACATTCCACGATTCCATTTTTATAAAACATGCCTGTCTTATTCTTTCTAAGATACATTTTACTTATTATTATTATTTTCAACTGCCTAAAAATTAACTCCACAATTATAAAAAATAAATAATAGGTTAGCAAAAATCATTATCAAAAGGTGACTAACAATTAGTTTTTCAGCTAAAATTAGCGTTGACTAGCAAGGATGATGTTCTGCTACTCGCGACAAAGAAAGCTATTGCCATGGGTGTAAGTGAGTTGAATCGGCTCGCGAGCCAGTTTGAGCTCGACTTGTTAGCAAACTCACGAGCCCAACTTATCAAACCACAAGTCCAAGCACGTAGCCTATATGCAAATTCATATATTAATTGAGCTCGAACTCGTAAGCTTGTTGAGCTGCTCGATTACTTAAAAATATATTTAAAAATTAATTGAAATTAGCATTTATATAATTAATTCTATATAAAAAATAAAATTCTAAGAAAAAACTAAAAAATTTAATATAGATCTAAAAAATAGAGCTTAATAATCAAGTCAAGCTTTAACTTTTCAAAAATGCTCGGACAATATAGCCAAACTAGAGCGAGCTCGAAGCCAATAAAAACTAAAGAAGCTTAACTCAATTAGATAGATCCCAACTCAACCCGACTCATTTACACTTCAATACAAAGCATTAAATTTTGAATCTTCGTTTGTGTTCCAGAATCATAGACCGGAATCAAATGGCACCGCCGTCGCCGTCAACCAAGTATTTCCTTCGAGAAACCTCTCCACCGTGAACTGCGTCACCTCCGACGGCCTGAAAATGATATGAAATCCCGTCCACTTAACCCGCAGCCTCATAGCTTTAGCTCCCGGCCCGGTGTTCTTATACTCCGCATAGTAGACCGTATCAAGATCGCCGTTTAACGACAGCCAGCCGGCCGGGTCGATGATACTATCAATGAAATTCTGCATGTACACCGTGCGCGAGTAGGGCAGCCACGGCCGGCCCAGGTACGACTTCACCTTCCGGTGTACGGGCCAGAACTCTGGCGCGGCGGTGATTCTGGAGAATTGGATTACGATCCCTGTGCTCTCGTTACCGTCGGTGCGCCCCTGCGCGGTGATCACGTTGGACTCGCCCTTTAGCGGCGTCCTGACGATGATGTTGCAGTTCTGGATCACCGCCGCCGCGTTGCCGAATATGAAGTCAATGGTGCCGTAGATGTCGCATTCGCGGTAGAATTGGCGCTGCGAGTAGACGCACAGCGTGTCCTGATAACCCTCGATGCTGCACCTGTAGAACACGGACCTGTCCGACCCGGATAGCAGAGCCACGGCCTGCGAGCCAGGACCGAACGTGTTTCGGATCGTGATGTCCGTCGCGATGAACCCGTCGCCAAACACATCTAATTATCAAGAAAAAAAAATTATTTACTGAGAAATACTGTTTATTTTCATCCAATTAAATTAATATATTTCTAATACTATTTTTTACATTTAAATCTATTAAATTTATTTATATTTATATAATATGTCACAATAAAAACAAATTGATTGCAGGTGCAAGAAATATTTATGTTAAAATTATGAGGATTTTTTTTATTTATGAACAATGTGAACAAAGAAGCAAGCTACGCTCAGAACTAAGTACTGTACATGAGCTAGCTCATTTATCATAAAAGATAGAATAATTTTAAGCCAAGTAATTTTTATAATAAAATTAACAAAATTTAAAAAAAAAATATTTCTTTGATATAAGAAAGTGACCGATAAATTTTAAATGTTTTTAATATTTTTATAGTTAATATATTAAATGCTAATATATTTTAAATATTTCTTATATTAATATTTTTTTAACCACCTGACTTGTGACCTAACAACTCAATTCAGAGTTGACCTTAATTTGGCTCATTAACTTATCCAGCTGGACTTAAAAATCATTTATCGCGCTAGCTAATCAATTAAGAGTTAACATGACTGATTTGCACCCCTAATGGAGAGAAATTATTTTGTGCGGATGCGTAGTTTCTCGTCCGAAGACCAATTAGAATGTGTCATGTTAGCAGTACCGAGTTGCGTACTGAGTCAGGTACCGAGCAGGAGGTGACGTGGCGCATTTTGATTGGTCTCCGGACGACGTTGGCATCCGCATAAAATAATTTCTCGCATTAGGCGAGCAATTTCATTGGTTTTTAAAATAATTTCTATCAGTATATGTAAGAATATAATTAGTGAATATGAAATCATTTTTATGGCATGTTAAATAAAGTATCATCTTAATTGCATTTGCAGAATTGTGCAAATTGGAAAGTATTTTTGCAATCTCTGTATCTATTTTAGTAATTTGAAACATGTTCACTTATTTGGCAGGCAGTGATATTTGGAAGACGTTGGACATGCTATATTTAATCGATGGTTAGGCAATTACGGCTGAATTCAATCTGACCAAAGAGATTGACAAATTAGGCTCATAAAATGTTGGAATCGTTGATTCAGCAAATTTTGTTTTTTGTTTTTTGTTTTAATCTTTGTTACGTAACCTTTGAGATATGAGGAGCGTTTTCTGAGTACTTATCTTTGATTTTATCGGTTTAAAATTCAATAAATAAATTTGAATAAGATATGCGTTTCTTACTGACGGTTGGAGAGCTGAAGGTCGTGTATCCAGAGGCGGCGCTCCGGTTGCCGGTGATGATGGTCTTCCCTTTACCGTCTCCGGCGATTGTAATATCAGTAAGGCTGCTGACGATTTCCAGATTCTCTTCATACACGCCGGCCTTAACGTAAATCACGATCCTTCTACTTGTGCTCCTCCTCTCAACCGCGGCGATGTCGAGAGCGGCTATGATTGTGCGGTAGTTTCCAGAACCATCTTGGGACACAACAATATCCGCACGAGAAGAGAGCAGCCGACGACCGGCGAAGGATGTCCAACCCGGCTTCAGAGTTTCCGGGATGCTCGCGGCGGCGCTGTTGATGGCTAGACAGTTGCTGACGAGTTCGGAGACAACGTTGTAGCGCGTGATGGGATGGATATCGGAGAAGCCATGAAGACAGGTGTAGAGATTTGTGTGGGCGGCGCTGAGCCAAGTCTGGGCATCGAGGCCGGCTCTCCGGTTGCCTCCCGAAAGAGACAAAGTGTGATTTAGCTTAGTGACGGTGTTGCCGAGGAGATTCCAGCAGTCGAGCAACGCAATCTTGTCGGGATCGCTGTTGATGAGGCCTTTGGCGAGGCGCTTGATGCGGCTGCGGGCGGAGATGGAGAGGTCGAGGGCTGCTTTAACGGAGAGCCGGTAGAAGTCGGAGTAGTCTTTGAGGCTATGGGTGTGAGCGGCAAGATAGTGCCGGCAAGCGTCTGGGTGCGGCACGAGGCGGCACCACCAATCGATGCTGGTGGGATTGGAGAAGGAAAGGGTGGCGAAGGAAAGAAGGAAGAAGATTAGTGGGGCTTTGCTGGGATCCATGGATAGAGAGTAATGCCTGGATTGCAGATGTGCGAGGTTTGAAGGCGATTGGAAAGGATTGTGGAGGCAGTGGTCGTTTCGTTTATAAGGAAGGCATTAGTTGCTTAGAAATTAATGAGGGGCAATATTGCCTGAATTGCGCAGGATAAATTTTTAAAATGATCACATTTAAAATTATTTTCATCGTTAAAATGAATTAAAAAAATATATAACTAAAATTATAATGGCTAATTTTTAAATGATATTATACTATAACTTAAATAAAACTAAGTAATTGATTTTAGTTTAACATCTCTTTTTAAGTTTTTTTTTTCTATTTGGTTTTCTAATTTAATTTTTAAATGAGAACCAGTGACGACCATGATTTTAAAAATGAATTGGACCTGTCGGTTCAACTGTTTGAACCGTGAACCAGTCAGTCAGTCGGTTCGATTTATTGATTTCGCATCAAACCGGACGAAAAACCTGCCGTCCGGCCTTTTAGACCAGTGAACCGGCACCAGTTCATAGGAACCACGTGGTTCAATAAACAGTGGATTTGAGTCATAGATTTTCGATCGAATGGCCTATCTTATGTTCTCTTGTCTCTCCCTTTATTTCACACGAATCCTATACAATCATGTTCGTCTTCCGCTCGCCATTCCCTCTTGTCGTTGTTGATTCACGAACTCGACGGCAAGGAGCTCTCCCCAACGCATAGCATTCTTCTCCGGCATCATCCTGGCCTTCTCCCTTCTATTGATAGTGGGTTTGTAGGTTTTTTTAACTAGGCTGAGGTTATAGTTTTATTCTTTTTTAAGTTTTCACATAAAAACTTTGTGTCTCTATATGTATAATTCTCTCTGTATTTATTTTTGCATGGGATATTCATCTTGGTTATGATGTAATGTTCAGTATCTATTTTTATAAATTTTCTAACTCATAATAATTTAACATCATATGTGAATGAAAAGATGTAGGTATCTTTTTTTCTTTTTATTTGTATGTTTAAAAATTTATTATCTTTCGTGAGTTTATAGTAATTTCATGGACATAAAGGGGGTGGATGTGGTTTTTATGGTTAAATGATTGGAGTGATTCCATTCTTCGAGTTCCAACGTCCATAATTGATGATATTGATAGCTTGGAATTTATAAAGTTTCTAAATGTATATCTTTATGTTTTGTCTAAGTCTCTTTGTGAATTCACATCTAAGAACTTGGTCAAATATATTTGCTTTTCTACTTTGGCATCCGAAATTGCAAAGGAAGTGAGAATAAAGTCGTTGAAATGGAAATGAAAATAAAAATTACTCTTTGGCACTGGGATTAGTGATGTCTCTGTTAGCTATGATATCTGGATTTCAGATTTCTTTATCTGGCTCTGGAAGCACATTGTGAAGGCTGCTTTGCTGGTTTTTACTGGATCTCTTTTTGATCGAATTTACTGTCATGCTTTGATGGACTTTTATCAGCTTAAACGATGATGATAGCCTGACTTTAAATACTCTAGGAGGGTCTTCGGGCAACCAGAGTATATGCTTTCTGTTATTCAATCCAGTCTAACTAAGTTCAGAGCTCGACGAAGAACGACTAAGTCTTCTCTTCCGAGTTTTATTCTCTGTTTACTGTTTCAGCTATCTCCTTCTGTATTTCTTTTTGTCGTCAAAATTTACAGTCATTTAAATTTTCATTGTATTTTGATTTTTCCTTTCATGAATAAAAGGCTATGGCCAAATTTACTCCCCAAAAAAAATATATTTGCTTTTCTTACCTGATAAGTTATCATATATTTTGGGTTTATATCTTTTGTTGCTGGTGGATATAAGAGTTTTCTTGTTTATCGGGCTGACAAATTCATTTGGGATGCTTCTTAGGTCACATAGCAATAAGCATAACGTACAAATTGCCAATTTTGCATGACAAATATATAAAATTACTATGATTGGGTAGTTTTGGATTATAATAAGGATCTTTGATTTTTGCATTATTTGTTTAAAGTCTAAATAACATTTTTTATTGGCTATTGATAGAACGGATGCTCCTAGTGGTCATCCCGCAACATCGGGGTATAGCGCATGAACAAATAGATATCGATATACTTGTAATCATTTCACTAAAATCAAAGGGGTTGATGGAAATATATATATATATATATATATATGTTATACTTACCCAACAGGAAGTTGAATTGAAGCTGATCCAATGAATTCGCCAGGGCCAACAATTTGTATCTTGTGTCCAAATAGTATATTCATATTATTAAAAGAAATATATAAAAAATATATAAAAAATAAATGGATAAAAAATAAAAATAAATATTATCAACTAAATAAATAAATATTATTCATATTATAAAAATTAATTAAAAAAATCATTAAAAAAAGATGTTTTGCTTTGCATAGTGTATACATGAAACCAAAGAGAGATTTTTGCTTTATATGATTTAGTCCCACATTACTTGTGATGTTTTGTTTTGCATAGTTATATATCTTTTTGCTTTTACACAAGATAGGAGGTAATATAAGGCTTTGTGAAGCCATGTGTGAATGTTGCAAGTAGTTATAAAAATTATATTTTGTAATATTTATTTAAGAATTTTAAATTAATTGATTAAATTTATCATTTATTTAATATTAAATAATTTATTTAATTATTTTAAAAAAAATTTGGACTGACCAATTTTATAAAACAGGGATCGGTTCATCGTTGAACCAGCGGTTCTGGCCGGTTTGATGCACACCCTGTTTATAAGGATGAACCGGACCGGCCTTCAGACCGGTTCAACGGTGAACCGGTCGGACCGGTTGGTTCGGTCCGGTTTTAAAAACGTGGGAAAAATTGTGTTTTAACGGCGACATTTTCCGGCGTCAAATGGATTTTGTAAATTTATAGTGGCTGGGAAAATATTTTTGGCGATTTTTTTCGGTAGCAAATATACAGCGAACCGACCTATCCGGTGGCCTTCCTGCACTTCTTGACAGGAGTCCTGCGCGCACTGCTTGCCCATCCGAGCTCCCTCCCTACTTGTTGCCGCCAGAAGGCCCTGCCTGTGCTGCCCGTCTAGCCCGAGTTCGTTGCTCGCTACCCGCTCGACTTCTCGCTCTACCCGCTCGAGCTCCAGCGCTGCTCGCTTCCTGGCAAGAGGCCTACGCCCAGCCAAAGCTGCGCTGCACGCTTCCCTCCCGCGCTCCTACCCTGCCTACCTACCCGCCTGCGCAGCTTGCTCAGTATTGGAACTAAGTCCAATCCATTTTGCTAAGTCCCAACCGTTTTTTTGTGAGGTAAAATGTGTTAAGATGCTTAATATTATTTATTTAAACTATATTATACAAAAAATTATAGTTAAAAACAAAATATTAAAGTTAATAATTAATTAAATTTGTTATTAAATTGACAATTTATTAGACTAAGTTATTGAATTAATAATTAATTAAAATAAATTAATAATTAATTAAAATAAACTAAAAAGTATTAATTAATTAAATTTTGAAATTATGAATTTTTAAAAATTACTACAAACCGTCGAAAAGCCACCAGAAAGCCTTCGAAAAATAGTCCACTGACAAGCTGCCGAAAAAATTCGTCAGTAATTGACGATTTTCCTATAGTGTATTAGTCTAAGCTATAAAATCTCATCATATTATATAATTGATATCGGATTTGTATCGCAGCTGGCTCGGAACTTACCCACCATCAGAAACTGCTCCCAAATAGATTAGAGTTCTTGAACTCCAAAATAACCTTTATGGTTTTTATTATTAAATGGTAAAAAACTACTCAAATGTGTCTAACACATAACCTATATATGCAAGCAAAGGTACATGAAAGAAAAGAATAAACCCCCACTATACAAGAGCTATTTACAAAATTATCAAATAACAGAATAAAGCATGAATTGGATCAGTCTTCAGCTCTGACGCTTTTATGGATTTCAGCTCCTGCGTCATTCAGCCGGGGTAGAAGAATCGTCAACCTCATAGTGCAACATAAATGTTATAATTTTCAATTAAATTGATCTGATACGCGTTATCGTTAATATTTTTAACAATGTGGAGATAGCCGTCAGCTCGTGGCTTGAGTTTGCTGAAAGTCCTCGGAGGAAAACATTCCTTCCTTAACTGGATCCAACCTAAGTTTCCTTCATTGAAGATAACCTTCTTTCTGTGCTAATTTGCTTGAGTTTAGTAATGTGTATTATGCTTGTCAATTTCCTTTTGGACTTGCTGATGCAATTTTTTAATTTCCAACCCTCTCTGTTCTTCGTCGGGATTGTAAGCGTCCTGTGGCCTTATAAGAATCAAATCTAATGGCATCAGAGGATTTTGCCCATACGCAATCTCAAATGGACTATCTTGTGGACTGATTCACGGACCAGATGAAAGCAAATTCAACTTGGGCTGGGACTAAATCCCACTATTTGAGAATCTTTCCCACAAAGTTTCTCAACAAATTTCTCAAACTCCGATTAACAACTTCTGTTTGTCTGTCGGTTTGTGAATGTGCAGCTGAACTGAATTGGAGACGAGTGCCCAATTCACGCCCACAAAGTTTTCCAAAAGTATCTCATGAATTTAACGTCTAGATCTGAAGTTATAGTTTTAGGAATTCCATGTAGACGGACTATTTCTCGAAAGTAAAGATCAGCAATGTGGCTGGCATCTAAGCTTTTATTGAAGGAGATGAAATATGTTATTTTCGAGAACCGGTTTACCTCTACCATGACTGAATCTTTATTGCGTTGGGTGCGGGGCAGTCCCAACACAAAATCGAGACTCACATCTTCCCAAGGGGTTTGTTGTATTGGTAAAGGAGTGTAAAGTCTGGCATTAGTTCCTTGAGTTTTTGTTATGCGGCATATGTGACAACTCTTAACATGTCTTGCAACATCTCTTGACAATAAGGGCCAATAGAATTCATCTTGGATTAACGCCAACATTTTATCTCGACCAAAATGCCCCAGTAATCCTCCATTGTGACATTCGATAATGATAGCTTGCCGAGTGGAACCTCTTGGTATAC